TAATATAATAAATAGAATTATATCAATACAATATAATATATAATATATTATAAATTAATAATTGCAATATCATATTATAATTATAATATCATTATTATTAAAATAATTATAATATAATTATAATATCATATTATATGATAAAATAATAATATTAGAGTTATTAATATAATTATGATATTACTTGTTATAATATTACTATTATATAATATTATATTATGAATTTGAATTTTAGATTGAGAAGATTGTAAATTTTAAATTTCATTAGGGGTATTATGGGTACTATGAAAGTTTTATTAATTGTACTATACTGATTCTCACACAATTTAAAAGCTAAAGTTATCTTTAGACTGCTTCTGATTTTGGCTGTAGATTCTTAAAAAATTCTTCAAAAAAAACTTTTGAGAGGATTTACTAAACACTAAAATCAGTTTTTGTTACAGAAGCTAATTTTGAGATGTAAAAGCAATACTAAACTAAGCCTGTATGTGGTAGGTAGTGATAGGTACCATAAGCTAGAACCATCATATATATATATATATATATAGAGGTGTGTCTTTGGTAAGTCTCTTGGGAAAATCTTGGGAAAAACATGTATTGACCATAAAACTAAACAAAGCGGAATTTTCCTACAAGGAAATGACTAGGAATATCGATCCTAATTACTCCAAGACTTACGTACGGTTTCCTACAAGCCCCACCTTTTTCCCATCATGCATCTGCTTGGAAATTAATGGGCGAAGACTCACAATTCCATGCACCATGGAAAAATACAAGTAAATATGGTTTCATTTTAGGATGATTCCTCGAGTTTTTCCGATTTCCTAATTGATTCCACGTGGCAGCTTATGTACGTGTGTATATATATATATATATATGTATCTATATATGCCATGTTACTTCATGAGAAGATCAACGAGATTTGTAGACATTATGGGTTCAATATTATTATTGTTGGAACAGAGAAACAGGAATATTGGTTTCTTTGGGAAGAATGTAATAGACCTCGTAGACATAGTCATCTTATGGGTTTCAATAGGAACAACTTTGTCACTCTTGATATTCCCATACAAAGAAACCATTAATATGAATAGGTATTTTAGCAGCAGCTGCAGCTTGTTCCATGCTTTCTTGTTGTCACTCAATTTTTCCATGTTCGGTTGCATCACCAACATCTCCCTTCGCCAAACTCATCCCGTCAACGCCGCCCACTGTCTTCTTCTAGCTCTCGCATCTACGGCTGCTGGGATTTTCATTTTGCTCATCCTTCTGCTCTCCGCTATTAAGTAACAACCACGTCGTCGTTTCTAGTTTACGTGTACGACCTAAGATCGAGATGGTATGTAATATATTTTGAATAAAGTTGAGCAAGCTAGGCTATGATAGTCTAGCTTCATATCTCTTGCTACCATGTGTAATTGATGCACATCTATGCGTTTTCTTCTATGTTCAAATATGAAAAAACAGTATGTGAGAACCGTTACGTACGTATTTATTCATTGTAGTTTTACTTTTATATCGAATCCTGGCTGCTAAGAATTCGTGGTTGATGTCACTTCCATTAACCTCAAAGCCTTTGCCCTTTTTTTTTTTTTTTTTTTTAATTAATGAGTTTCGTCATCTAAGCATAATAATACCTCATGAAAGAGTAAAAGACTAAAGTCCGGACAAATTTAAGCCCCGTTCATCTCACTGATTCAAATTTTCAATTTTAAGTTTCTACAGTTAAAACATCTAAAAAAATGTCGCATCTAACTTTTTCTACTACAGTTAAAAACTCTTAAAAAATATCACATATCAATTTGAATTAAAAATTTAAATTCACGGATCGAACGAGTTCTTAATGTGTATGATTTCTATCACTAGCGTTTCAATCCAAACTTTACCCTTCCTCCCGAGGCACCAAGGATTGGAGGGGAGGATAAAAAGTCTCCATAGGAACCAAAAAAAAGAAAAAAAAATCCAGCTTCGTGCCCTGTAAATCTCCAACAATCCATTAATAAGTAAGCACCAATTCGTTTCCCTTCAATATTGTATTTGCCATAACCAATGAAAAAGACATTTTTGACTAAAAAAGGAGCACCATAACTTCAAGGGAGAGAAAAAAAAAAAAAAAAAACCCACACTTGGTGCAAATTTGATTTACATGATTTCTCCAGTATCAATGAGTACTATTTCACTGCAGTTACAAGTTCAACCCAACAATTTATATACTCTAGCCTCAACATGAAGTCTAGAGTTTGAATTCCCCCACCCGTCAAATTTAAAAAAAAAAAAGAATATTCCAATACAAATTCCCTCCTCCTCTATTGGCACCAAGGGCAAATTTATGCCCTTTACCATTTAATTAACAAAAAATAAATAGATCACCAAAGTCTTTACAAGAGCAAAATCCATCTCTAAAATGATGGAACCTGCTAGAATCCCCGACTGTTATTTGCCTATTAACAATCTTAGAGATCACCTTGATTGCACTATGACAGTCTGCAAGCTCTCAAGTTTTTCATCACAACAATTGGTGTCCCTTCTGGTGTACTAATCAGCGCAAAAGCAATTGCCAAACGTTCACTGTGATACTTCAAAGACTGCTTTTATTTCCTCATTCTCGTTGTGAAGGGCACAACTTGTGTCCGGTTTGTACCCTTCCCTTTCCATCTCAGCCGTCAAAACATCAATCTTTCTCCTGATCTCCCCCATCCTCGGGTGGATCTCATCATTCGCCGTGAACATGTGAATCTCATGCTTAATCTCCACCCAACTTCGCGCAGGGTTCTTTCTCATCCCTCTCTCCCTCATCGCTTTCTTCACCCTGCCAACACTCTCCCACTCACCCGCAGCTGCATAAATGTTTGACATGTTCACATAAGAAGCGGCGTCTCTCAGCTCTGCCATGTTGAAAAGTTGGCTCGCTGCTTTCGTTGCCAATTCTTGGTTCTTGTGAATTCGGCACGCGTTTAGGACTGATGACCAGATGATCTCATCGGGTTCAAAAGGCATTTGAGCCATCAAGTTCACCGCTTCATCAAACTGCCCGCTTCGACACAACACATCAACTATTGATGCATAGTGTTCTCTCTTTGGAACAAGTTTATAGGTAGATGTCATGAAGTTAAAGTAATTTAATCCTTCTTCTACAAGCCCGCAGTGGCTGCAGGCAGTTAGTATGCCAAGGAAGCTAACCAAGTCTGGTTCGAAACCCGATTCAAGCATCTGTTCAAATGATCTAAAAGTTCCCTGGCCATCCCCATTTTGTGCATAAGCTGATATCAAAGCATTCCAAGAGACTGAATTCCTCTTGGGCATCTCTTGAAAAGTTTGAAGCGCGTCTTTCATAAACCCACATTTCGCGTACATGTCTAGAAGTGCACTTCCGGAGAACACATTAGACATGAATCCTGATCGTATTAGAGATGAGTGCAACTGTCTTCCCAGCGAGAGTAATGCCAAACTCGCTGAGGCTCTTAAGACGCTCGCGAAAGTCGCCTGGTCAGCGCAAACACTTTCTCTTCGCATCTCATTGAACAGCGCCACACCTTCATCGTGCAGCCCATTGTGAACGTAGGCAGAGATCATGGCTGTCCATGGCACTGCACTCCTGTGAGAAAGATCAGAAAATATTGTCTTGGCCTCCTTAAACCGGCTGCATTTGGCGTACATGTCGACCAGAGCATTTGCGACCAGAATTTCTAAATCAGCTGTCATCACGGCAGCCTGGGAGTGGATCTGCCGACCCATTTCCAAGTTTGAAGTAACTGCCGCCACGCTCAACATGGTTGCGAAAGGAAACTGCCTTCTATCAAATTTAGTAAACTGTAACTTGCGGAATAGATTCACAGCCTCCTTCAACTCCCCAACCCATGCATGTCCCGCAATTAGTATGTTGTAAGAAACACCATCCAGCTCCGGCATTTCATCAAAGAGTTTCCTCGCTTCAATCACACAGTCATGCTTCGAGTAGAAATCAAGCAATGCGTTCCCCACAAACACATTACACACGAAGCTATTCTTCACTGCCAAGGCGTGAACTTGTCGCCCAAACATCACGTCATCCATGCCAACACCGGCGCACAGAACGGCCGCAAAAGTGAAATCTGAAGGCTCATATCCCGAATCCTGCATTTCCCGAAAGAGCTTAACTGCTTCCGCATTCAACCCTTCCTTCGCATAGCCCGTTATCAACGCATTGAACGTTACAGAATCTCTATCGGGTATTTCCTTGAACACCTGGAGGGCCAATTCTATTCGACCCGTTTTGCAATAAGAATCAATCAATGAATTACAAACGAAAAGAACCGAATCACATCCCGATTTGACAACATGGGCATGAACTTGAAAAACTTCAGTACCACAATCCACATTACTACATCCCGATAAAAGAGTCGCAAATGTCACGTAATCAGGCTGCGAAGTTCCGAGCTTACGCATCAAAGCAAAAAGTCGAAAGGCTTCGCGAAAGTCGTTGCGTTTGGAGTAAGCGCCGATGAGTATAGTCCAGGTAACGGCCGGTCTCTCAAGCATGCTTTCAAACAGCTCTCGAGCAACGGGAATGTTTCCCTGTTTGACGTAAGCGGAAATCATGAGGTTTATGGTGACGGTGTTCTTGTGGGGCATTTGATCGAACACTTGTCGTGCTTGAGTGGTGTCGCCTCGCCGGAGGGCGTCCATGACCTTGAAGTTGGAGCGAGAGGTGTTGGGGTCGAACCCACTTTTGACGAGACGGGCATCGATGGAGTTTTGGAAGCTTCTTAGAGTGGCAAGCTTTTGGAGTACATTTGTTCTCTGTAGAGGCATGGCAATTGGCGCGTAAAATGATGGATTATTTGTGTATTATTGGCTCAATAAATATTATTTCATAACAAAATTTAAAGAGTTAATTTTATATATGGTTATTAGGTTTACACTCAATTCTATTTCAATTTTTAATTTTTTAAACGTCATATAGCCGATTTTTAAAGTTTTATTTTGTTTCAATTTTAATTTTTCTATTAATTAAGCGTTAAAATATGATAATATATGTATAAATTATAGTAAAAAATTAGAAATAATATTTTGAGTAAAAATTAACTTTTAATTTTTTATATAATTTGAGTCTCTAAACTTTATATTTTTTTAATTTTAGTCCATAAGTTCTTTAAATTATATTAAATATTTAACACTAAACTAATGAAAGAACTGAAACTGAAATTGAATAAAACCTTAAGGATTAACTGTGTAACGTTTAAAAAGTCAAAAACTAAAATGAGATTGAAGTTAAAACTCAAGAACTATTTGTGAGATTAACTCAAATTTTAAAGAGTTGGGATACGTAATATGTGCTCGAGTTTGTTGCACGAGAGGTTCTTAATCCTAACATTCAATTTTGACAAATTACTTTTTAAACTTTTGCTTTTTAAATGTTTCGGTGCATGTCATTAAAATTGATGAATGGTATTAAATTTCACAAAGATAATCATCACATTAGATGTAAAATATTTTCTTTATTGTTGTTAAAAATCCTTAAAAACTAGAACATTTAACATTTAATCTAACTATTTCTAAAAAGATTTTGATTACCATACGATTGGGGCTTGATTGTTGCTAAGAAATTGAAAAGTTATTTATTATTTTTAATCTCAAGTATTAAAAATGTCAAAAAAAAAAACGTTTGGTTCATGAATTAAAATCATGAGATTAAAATCATTTTTGATTTACGTGTATTTTTTATGAGAGAAAACACTGTAACAAACCATAAACTATGATTCGAATCGGGGTACAAATCTCCCAACCAAACAAGTCGTAAGATTCCTAAATAATTTGTCAAAATTTAAAATTCAATTATTAAAGTGACACAATACTCATAATTAGGGATTAATAATGTTTATAATCCCTTTTTGAAGTGGCGTTCGACTTAGTACTTCACCTTTTCACATGTTTGAGAAGGTCATGGAACTTTTATGTTCGGTTGACATCCAAACCTCAATCAATCGCAATAACTTGGGTATGAAAAGTATTGGATGTCTTTATTTATGCTTCCTTTAATTTTGTAAACTTAGATGACAATATTTGATAAATTGCCCTTTAAAGTATTGGTAGGAAAATACATAGTGACCGAATGAAGATAATTATTGCTTGTTTAAAATTGCAATTTGCAAGGGATATAAAACTCGCAACAATTTCTCAAATTTGTACATTTCATATCGATATGAACACATGAAGATGAAGTATAATCGTTTATTAATAATATTAATGAGAAGACGGGAGTTGTATATAACAAAGGAGGTGGGATTATATACAATAATGAAGACTACAAGTATAAGATCTAATCATGTCATGTGTTTGATCCTGATCTTAGTAGACCCCCTTCTGATACTCGTACTCACAGAATTCTCCACCAAGGTCGTCACAAGCCTCTCCTCGGAAAACTCTGCGTGAAAACACGAGCCTTTTTAGCCAATTTTATTCTTTACAAATTAAGATACCAAAATAACCATCACAACACAAAAGCTATTATTAATTCATGACCAAGTATGCTTACGTTTTAGGGTCAGTGTATTCGAGGTATTCTCTGTCAAAGTGTTCGCCAAAAACTCTATGCATAAAATGACTCCACGCAAGCGCACACAATCGAACAAGTAATATAGTAATTAGTAAAGTATCGTCTCCACAAGGACTGAGTTAATGAGAAATTCTATTACAAAAACCAGTTTTATCAATATGATTGAGAATAGTTTGAATGCCAAATTGATATTAATTAAGTGAAAAGAATGTATAAGACCAAAGACTGTAATTTAAATGCAGACAAGAGGTAAAAGTCAACAATATCTGAGCTTAGAGCTGTGATTTAATGATGGATGAAGGCTAGGATTACTGATTTCCCCTCGGTTGCAACTCTGACCACGATTTGCTATACGATTGCTGTAGCAAAGTTCATTTAGTCAACCTAAAATTCTACATAATCATCTTCCGACAGATTTATGCTTGTAATTCCTTAAACCAAACCAACATATTCCTATGTGTTTTAGTTTACAAACCTGACGTTAACATCAATTTTAATGGGTTGTACAAGATAATAGTATATTCCTATACTATCTCTTACATTATCCAAGCTAGATCTAACTCAACCAATCTTTCTAGAATTAGCTTAAGTTTGTGTTTTCTTACTAAATGATGGCCTGTCACTTAATAGAAAGTAAACAATAAATATGCTTGAATAAACTAGATGAAAATTACATTATCAATCAAAATAGCAAATAGATCTTCATTGCAACTTTGGTTCCATCAATAATCCTAGCTAAGGAATTTAGCTCATGTTTAGTTCAACAAAATCATAATTAATAACAAATAACAGATCCATAAGGTCTCGGAAAGTAAATACAGAGAGAAGGAGAAAACAACTAAGCTAAAATCTGAGGTCAAAAACCCCTCTTACAGCTGTCCCGTCAGTGCTTGGACCACTACCAGCGCTAAAAGACAAACTGCACCAGCTTGCTAATTTTTGGCTACTCCTGCTTTTGCTACGACTTTGCTGCAGCAATGCTATGGCATTGGGGGCATTTCAGCATTTGTGTTTTCCACCGTGCTTTTCTCACCAAAAGCCCGTCAGCACCCCTCCTCTGGACATCATGCACTAAGTTCCCAGGGTCAATACAATGAGTTGAATTGAGGAATAACTTCAAAATATAGCAAGATTTCCCATAAATAACAACTTTCTACCACACGGAAAAAGATTAATAAATGCTATTCAAAATACTAACACAAAGGCATTTTACCCGGAGAATATAAACAAATATTAAGCCTAAAAGTATGCTAAATAACTCTATTTCTGTGAGTTATCA